CCTTCCTCTCTCAAATAAATGATCTCTGAATGACTCTATTTACTCTGTCCTTAAGTTGAAAGTTCTTTTAGTATCAGTATAAACTGGCAATCTCAATATTCTATGTAATATATTTTCTAACATTTTTTTGAGACAGGGTCTCACTATGTAGCCAGGATGGCCTTAAACTTGTGATCCTCCTGTCTCAACCTCCTGTGTTCTGGGATTACAGGCATGAACCACCATGCCCAGCTTCTAACTTTTTATTACAGAACAAATGTTGGGGGTTTGCCCTATAATTCCCACAGAAATCGGAAGCACTAAAAAGTTACCATCCTTGGTAGACTCCTATCCCTAAACCATTCTTAAGGTTGCTTATTTTGTTTTTCATTCACTTCATACTATCTTTAGGCAGGTTATAAGAAAGATTTCATAAGGACATTGAGGGTTTATTGAGGGAGGGACTATAAGAAGGTTCATTTGTGTTGAATCTGTTCTTTAAAGGTAGTTCCCGCACTTCACTGCATTACGATTGGTATTCTGAGGTACGAAACATAACCCAGGAGTTCTTTAACTTCAATTTGAAATAACCTTATCTCTTCAGTCTTAGTTCTCTCCAGTTCCTGGTGATAATAAAAATGAAATTTTGTTGACTGTACACTCTAATTTGTTACAAAAGCATATACTTATATAAAGTTTTATAACATATATCAAAGTTAAAATAAGGCAAAATGCACATTTTATTAACATCAGAAAGTGACAGCGTCATCCTCACCACTGTCATGGAATTCAAGACTTTTTGGTGAAGATTTTTATGAGGAGCTAAGAGAACGAAGGCCACTAAATTGCTTTTAAGGAAACCAATACTAGGAACAACTTTATTGCAGAGTTCTTCTTAATTGCACATTTGTCTTTCACTGTTCTTTCTTCAAAATAGATTTGACTTTAAACTGTCTTCTCACTAGCAGTAGCATTATAGTCTGTTCTTACTAAAATTTCTAATTTTTGTTTTACTATGTAGTTATAGGTAATGTAGATTTTTATGTACATATATACATACAAATTTAAATACTACTTTCCATAGCTTCTGTATATACGGTTATATAGGATAACTTTTTTTTACTTAATCCTCAAAGCTTGAGCTTAGATGTTAGCAACTCTCAAAGTTATAGCCTGAGTATGATGTGGTGACTATAGAACCAAGCCTTCTATCGCAGCCATTAAATCCGCCTTAAAAGTAGTTGATTATAGTTGCTTTTATTTTTATTAATCATTTAAGAAATGACTGGTAAGTTAACACATACATCTTAACTTGCCCTTCTAAATGAATTTTGCCTTTTAAAGTTACTCCCTTAAGACAAATACTATGATAAATTATTCATAAGTGACATAAGTGTACTTGTGAAAATTTGATACTACAACTGTCACTAAGTGTGATCTTATATTGGGCAGTTTACAAAATTAGGTGCTTGTGCATAAACTACTTGCAAGAAAAGAGAGGACAATTAAAATATTTATAATGGTGCCACTTAGAAACTATTAATTAAGATGTAAAGTTTAAATCCATTTCAATAATAACTTAAAGCATAATTTAGTAATGATTAGATGAAGTAAATTTTAATTAATGAGCAACATAGAACTGTTTAGGTTGTTACCTTAATATAACTGAAGTATCTCCTTACATAGGCATTAACAGATCAACAGCAGTTTGGGAAAGCTGATGAAATGTATGATAAATGTATTGATTTGGAACCAGATAATGCCACAACTTATGTTCATAAAGGGTATGTTATTATGTGGTTCTGTTTGTCTCAGTAAGATACTAAATGTTTCATAGTAATAAAATGTTTTTCTTTTGATCTTTGAGCAGTGGGACTGTGGGAAAGAAGTGTCAGTGAATTAATTGAACAATTTATTAATGTTTGTCAAGGATGCTGTTTCATTCTTATATAGAAGTTAGTAAATGCACTGTTCTCACTCCTGATAAAGGGTTTTAATTTCAGTTCTAAATATCCTGTTGTATATTGTTTATATCAGTTCTAAATATCCTGTTATATATTATTTATATCAAAATAGGTGATAAGTATACTTGAAATATCATAAGAAACCTCACTTAAATTTATACAAAGTAAAAAGCAAGCCTAGAAGAGTAGATACTTTTTTTACAATGCTGAGCATCCAACCCTGGATTTAGGACATCCTAAACATGCCCACCACCATTGAGCTGTACACACCCTAATCCAGATGTTCTTTCCAAATAAGGAACTTAAACCTTAAAACTAATAGAAATTGAAAAACCAAAAAACCCCTCAATGTATGTTAAGTATATACAGTTTTAGTTTTTGTCTTGTAAGTTAAATTGTAATTTTTTGTGTGTGGTGCTGGAATTTAAACTCAAGGGTGTTGTACTTGCTAGGCAAGCACTTTACCACTTGAGCCATGCCCTCAGCCCAAATAATAAATTTATCAAAGTCAGAAATTGAATCATACAATTATTTTCCTATTGATAATGGAACATGGTCACATCTGACTGCCTTTTTGTATTTGCAGTTTACTTCAACTTCAGTGGAAGCAAGATTTGGATAGAGGTTTGGAGCTTATCAGCAAAGCTATTGAAATTGACAATAAATGTGATTTTGCATATGAAACCATGGGAACTATTGAAGTGCAAAGGTAATGTCTATTCTTAGGAAGTTTATGATAGCACCATAGATTTATTTTGTCTTAGTACATATTTTGTTGCCAATAAAGTTTGTTAGGCCTTTTGATGCAAGCTTTCATCAAAATTATGCAGCTTTGATTCGCCTTGTGTCATTATTCTTCCAAGTTAAGTTACACTTATTTAAGTCAAGCTTATGCATTAGAAAGGGAAACCAGAGCCAGGTGCTTGGGTAGTTCATGCCTGCAATCCTAGCTACTCAGGAGGCAGAGATCAGGAAGTTAACAGTTCAGAGGTAGCCCTGGCAAGTAGTTCATGAGACCCTATCTTAAAATACCAACACACAAAAAAGGGCTGGTGGAGTGGCTCAAGTGTTAGAGTGCCTACCTAGCAAATGTAAGGCCTTGAGTTCAAACCTCAGCACTACCAAAAATACAAAACAAAACAAAATACTGGGTTGTTAATATCCATTGTGTATATAAAGAGGAGAGAACTTGTATTCTTGTTGAAAGGAGAAAAACACCCGTAATGTGCTTATTAGTCAGTGCAGAATAATGAGGATTTATAATCAGATTGCCACACAATCTGAATCCTAATACAAAGAAGCAACCAGCCAAGTGAGTGGGCAAGTTGCAACATTTCTGAGCTCCTGGGTTTTCTTCAAAATTGGGGTTGGATAAGATGAATTTTTGCAACTGTGACATTGTGTAATTTCTTGCTTTACATAAATGTTTACTCAGAGTTGCACTTAAGATCCATATTAACAGATAACAGACAAATGTTTACAAATGATTCCATCTCCATACTGGCCTTGATTTTCAACTAAGAACTTATTCTAGGCTAAATTCTGAACTTTCAGTGTCTTCCAAATACTACTTCAGTTGATCTAAACCCAATCTTTATAAAGATAGAGATTATATCATCCCCAGTTTAATTGAAGAGTGTAGAACTAATGCCCACAGTGATCAGGTTAACAAGGTTGCACAGTATGAATAGATGATTTGAGTCTACACTGATGTCAAAGTAACTGATCTTGTCACTGTCTCTAACATGAGTTCTCTTAATTCCTTCTCCTGTGCCCTTCCTGTGACCCTTTCCATTTTCCAGAGTAGAGAGAATATAGACAGACTGATGAAAATTTTTCATATGGATCTTTTGAGTCATTCTGTACTGACAGTTGCATGTAAATACTGAATTCTTTTTTGTGGGAGAGACTGGGGCTTGTACTTAGGGCTTCACACTTGCAAACCAGGTGCTCTACTGTTTGAGCCACACCTCCAATCCATTTTGCTCTGGTTATTTTGGAGATAGGGTCTAGTGAACTATTTACCTGGGCTGGCCTCAAACAGCCATCCTCCCGATCTCATCCTTCCAAGCAGCTAGGGTTAATGTCTGAGCTACTTGGAGCCTAACAGGTATTGAATTCTTAATTGCTAATTTGTTATCATGAATAAGATATTCTCTTACTAAAGAGGACAGAATAGTGGTTCCTATCTTTCTTGAGCAAAGCTGTGGATTCTTTTTAGAATAGTGCAGATAGAAAAATACTTTGCATTTAAGGTGTTCATAGATCCTAAGTTTAAGGACCTCTGATTTAGGGGGTTTGATGGAATTTTGTGTGTTTATTGAACTTTTAAAAGTCCATTGTAAATCTTACCATACATTTAAATAGTGTGAATGATTGCCGATTTCTTTTAGAATTTAGTAGATATGCTAGCTCAATATGAATTCTTGAAAAAAAAAATTTTTTTTTTTTTTTAAGTAAGTTTATCACATAGTCCCAAACTGTAGTAGGAGGTTATATATAGTCACCGTAGGAGTACTTACTGTTTAGACTGGCACATATATAGTGGGGACTTAAATATTTGCTGTATGATTAGATACATATATACATATATACATGGCTAACAGTAGTTACCTAAGATAGTTCTTGGTGATTGTATATATAGCCTAGTCACACTTAAGCAGTAAGAAGTAAACTTTATGTTTGTCCACAAGCATATTTATCTGTTTACTCAGAAACAGACAGTAGTTACTAACCATCATGCTATGTTCTGGAATTGAAAAGCATCCATCAAGTTGCTAGTAAGAGGGCTGGGGTGTGGCTCAAGTGGTAGAGCACCTACCTAGCAAGAGTAAGGCCCTGAATTCAAACCCTAGTACCAAGTAGTTCACAAGACCCCATTTCCAAAATAACCAGAACAGAATGGACTGGAGGTGTGGTTCATGTGGTAGATAGCCTGCTTTGTGAGCACCTGCTTTGCAAATTGCAAAGTCCTGAGTTCAAACCCTAGTTCCACCAAAACCAAAAAAAATCCAGTTTAGATATTGTGGATGTGGCTGTTGAAGGAAGTTTGCATAATGTAGGCACATGGTATTTTTAAGAGTAGTTAACATTTATTGAGTTCATTCAATGTATTATGGAATGTGTTAATTATGAAAGCATTTTAGTAGAATCATAATTGAAGCTTAGTGATCAGGCTTCATGTAGCAGCATTTATAAAGTTTATTGGATATTGTGAAGTACTTGTTTAATCTGAGAACTTAAAAAAATATTCTTCTTTTAGAGGAAACATGGAGAAAGCCATTGACATGTTCAACAAAGCTATCAACCTGGCCAAATCGGAAATGGAAATGGCTCATCTGTACTCACTTTGCGATGCTGCTCATGCCCAGACAGAAGTTGCAAAGAAATACGGATTAAAACCACCAACATTATAAAACAAGGGGGAAGGAGACTGACTCTCTTTTTAAAAGAAGTTTATCCCCTCTTTAAGTAAACCCTGAAGACACTGTCATGAACCGTGCTGAATGGTGGAACTTTAGTATCCCCTTTGTGGTGTTGTCATTCTTTACATCTGTTTCATGTTTAGATATTGTGGATGTGGCTGTTGAAGGAAGTTTGCAGTTTTGCAGCTTTTATTCCCTGTGCAACAAAAGCTTAGAACCTGTTAAAGGGATTAAGTTTTAGAGTACAAAAGATAATTGGCCATGCAAATAAAAACTTTGTTGATTTTTTTTTTTTTTTTTGGATGGGGGTGGGGACTGATTATGTTCTGGATGATTTTGTCTTTATGTGTGTATAATATGTGAGTATTTTATAGTGTGTTGGTTTTTTAATTAACATAGTAAGTACTGTAAAATAGATTACTTTTATATTAATCCTTTTCAGTTAATTTTTTTGAAGGATGCAAAGCTTAAATGTGTATTACAGTAAAATTGAGAGACTCTTTAAACAATTGTCAGCATGCACAGTGCCTCTGATTCTGCACACCTTTAGAAACTGAAAGTCCATGGCAGCTGTTTTTCATGCTGTAAATTACGCAGAAGCAAAATATTCTGATTGATATGTATGCTGGAAGACTATTAATGGGAGAGTGAACCAGGAAAAGAAGTAAGATAAAAGAAGTATGTTTATAATTGCCCATACCTATTTTCTGTAATAAGTACTACTATTTAATAGTGTACTTTTTAAAGTGTGGATTGTGTGTAATCCAAATAAAGGTGGAATAAATGTGATATGTGGGGGTATTTAATTAGCTTAAATTTTCTAGTGAAGAAAATGGCTATAGGTTCAAAAGGGTATAAGTCTTAGAGCCAGAGCATAGTTGTTTTTTTTTTGTTGTTTTTTCCCCAAATGGCAAGTTTAGTGTTACAGCTTTGGCCACATGTGCTCAAGGAATTTTGAGCCAGTATTTTCAAAGATGTGGAGTACATATAGACTGCTTTTTTGTATTGAGGTAACCTAGAGTACTGGCTCATGTCCAGGTCTTTACTAGATATTGTCAGTTCTGACAGTAGGTTTTTGTTCCTCTCTCCTGAGCTTACCTGTACTCTTCATCTTTAGAAATCACATCAAGGAGTATTTCCACTTGTCATTTTATAGACCATCCTTTTGTTCACATGTTGGATTTTTCTGGTGGGGGAAGGGCTGTGTTCTTAAAGGTCTCTTGTTTTGAGATACTGAGGACAGGGAGAAGTTTAACTGAATATAATAAAAAAGCAAACTATTTGTTACTTTTCTGGAAATGAAGTCTAATTATAGTTTACATGATTGGGAGTAAGGAGCATTTTACCATCTTTAAAAGGATGCTTTATCCTGTTGAAACCAAAAAGATTTTGTCTACAACTGCTATCTTTCTAGGAACTATCAGAAATGACTCCCCTTCCAAAGTCAGTCTCTGGAAAATATTGAGGAAAACTCTGACTGGTTTTCGTAGGGGTAGTTAACATAATTTAAGATGGGTGGGATAATGGGAAGTTGACAAGCTCTGCATTTTGTTCTTAAATTATTCACCTATTGTGATAACTCCAGAATACAGAAAATGCTCTACATCTCTGAATGTGAACCCCTGGCTTCAAAAAAAAGTTTTTATTTGCATGGCTGTGTTTACATTAACACTTACATTTTCTACTACACTTCTCCCTTTTTCTCCTTTGGGGTTGGGTAGAAAAAAAAAACAAAGGAAGCATGTGCCATTCAATATTGTCATTCCAAATTCTCACAGACTATTGCCTGTTTGAAAATAATTTGAAACTGCACTGAAAGCTGCATCTGTCTGTATCTTTTCTTTTGTAAATGACCTCACATGTAAATTCACCAAATAAATATTACATTCAGACTTTTCTGTCTGTTCTTTGAACAGAATGATAGGTAGTTTGTTCATTTATTAAACTGTTGGCCAATTATACCACTGGGGATTGTGGGCTTACACTAACTTTGGAAACAGGCACGCACATGTTTGTTAATGTGGCTGGTGGAGTATCCTGAGAGGACTGATCCAACTGTGAAACAAGATCCCACGAGAACTACTAGAGCTGCCTTATTCTTTATCGGTCTTACCCATACTTGTATAGTAGTGTTGCCAGTCAGACCTGGGCTTTGGGGCTAAGTTTTGAAGTGTTTGCTCCACCAGTGAGTTTAATCATAGTTTTCAACTACATGCAGTCTTTTGGAAAACATACTTAAAATAATCACTATACTTGATAATTGTGATATAAGATAAGCAGTATCTCGTATCTCAAAATAATAGCAAGAAATTTTCTTTTTAAAACAATTCAAACAATTTTCTGCTCTCTGGAAACTCAAATTTAAGTTTACTCAAATAGAAGTTTAAACAGTACTTTGTACCTAAGAAGTCAACTAACTCATTTTAAGGTTTAACCAAACCAGGAAATTTCTGACTATAAGAATAATGATTACCCACAACTATCCTGGTAAATTGAGTTGTAAGGTCTTTGTATTTATAGGAGTGGTTGGGGAGTAATTAATCCTGTTCCCAACCCTCTGCTAAACTGATTTGTAAACAAAGTGACAGAATTTTAATTTGATTTGTTTGTAAGTTTTAAAATACTCATAACTGTCCCCCAAAAGATAATCTGCATCAAAACTTTATGGCTTTAGATGAAAGTATTCTCCCATTCCAAGGGAGAATCCAGGGTTTGTTTTGGTCAAACATCACTTGGGATAAACTCCTTTATTGTAGAAGGTAAAAACAAGGGCCAGGTTTCCCCACGCTAAGAATAAAATGTTACATTCTAGCTATAGGAGATCTCTATACTTCATTTGTTTCATGTTTTTTGCACCAGAAGACAAATATTGCCAACCAAGTACAACACTAAAAGGACAAGAAGACAAGTTAATGAAATAAAACAAGTTTTAGCATCCATCTGCCTTATTTGTTGTAGGAATTGCTACATCAAGATAAATATTTATTTCTATTGCATAAATGACAGCCAGGATAGTCCACTGGTTTCAGGCTTTTCTGAGCAGCTCTTTGGAGGAAATCCTTTGAGAGTTTATGTGATACTGTAAATCCTAAAGCAATGATTATAATACAAAAATGAGTTATTGTAGTATAACAATAATTCTGGGACAAAGTGAAGTCCCAGAATGCTGCTATTCAGTTCATACAAGAGAAAGAAGAGGAAGAGAGCAAATAAGTACAAAATAGGTTCAATCCCAACAATATCAACAAACACACTAGATGTAAATTAACTAAACACTGCAATTAAAAGCCAAAATTTATCAGATAATTGCATAATAGTTTCCTGCTGCCTAAAATTGTTTTTGAAAACCCTTAAATGTGAAGGCACAAATAGATCAAAATTAGTAGGGTGGATGGGAAAAGATACTACTAATCAAAATTAAGTGTCATTATTAGTATCAAAGTCATCTGTAGAGCAGAAAATTATTAATAGTGATTTCCTATTCAAGAGGTCAATTCATTAAGGTGACCTAATAACCCTAAATGTTTATGAACCTAATAAAGTTTCAAGATACATAAAGCAAAAAATGATCAATTGTGATAAGAAATACACAGCTATATTTATCAACACCTCAATAATTCATAGGAATTATTCTGTATCAGAATAGATACAGAAAACTTAAACACCAGCCAATGTGACCTAATTGACATTTCTAGACACCAAACAAGCAGAATATAAACTTTTCAACTACACATGCAACATTTGCTAATATAGCATATACTTGGGGCCCTAAGAAGAATCAATAAATTTAGAAGAATTGAATTTTATAAGGCATGTTACCTGGCCACAAACAAATCAAATTTAGAAATAAAAAAATCACTAAATGTTTAGAAAAAATGCAACCTAAGGGTTTACAAAAATCAAAAAGGGAATTGATATTCCAAACTGAATAAAAATGAAAACATAAAAGATGGTGTATGCAAATACTCAGAAATTAGTATTACCAACCTTTATATTTGAAATGAGAAAAAGGTATCTTAGTGACCTCATCTGTCCACTTTATTGTGCTGGGTGGGGATCAAACCCAGGGCTTACATGCTAGGCAAGCGTTCACTGAGTATATAGTGACACTAGCCCCTCAGTATCTATTTTAAGGGATTAGAAGAAGCAAATGAAACCAAAAGTGTTAAGAAGAGAGATTAATGGCATCAAAGGTGGTTGTAAGAAAAATAGCAGTTATACTGATGAATCTTTAAACACTTTCAGAGTGATTAAAATGGTATCAGCCAGCACCAGTGGCTCACCCAGTAACCGTAGCTGCTAAGGCTGAGATCCAGAGGATCAATGTTTATGGCTGGGGCGGGTGTTGGGGAAACAGTTCATGAGACTCCCATCTCCGAAATAACCACAGCAAAATGAACTGGAGGTGTGGCTCAAGTGGTAGAGTACCTGCTTTGCAAACATGAATCACTGAGTTCTCTTCCACCCAAAAAAACAGACAACTTGCAAATTACCAGTTTTTTCAGATCACTAGAGGAAATACTGCTCAAGTCATTTTTAAGAGGCCAGCAAACACTGATAACCAGTCAGATACTATAAGAAAACTGCAGACCATATCCCTCATAAATTTCAATGCAAAAATTGAATGTTAGCAAATTAAATCCAAAAGTATCTATATGGTTGATGTGCTTTCTATACAAGAATGAATATATACTTTTTAAGCCTATTGAAATCACCATAAGGAGACTAGATGGAAAGAAAAACAGATGGGATGAATTAATTTGGGTTATAATACATATATACATGTAAATGTCACAGTGAAACTCCCTGTTTAGCTATCTTAAACAAAATTGTTTTTTTCAAAAATGGAAAACAGAAAGATAAAACAGGTCTTGCAGGGGCAGTTGCTATCTGTGGTAGGGGTGAGTTTATAAGGAAAGCCTGTAAGGAGGGTGAATATGGCACAAGTATTATGTACTCATGTATAAAAATGAAAAGATGAGACCTGCTGAAACTATTTCAGGAAGGGACATAAAGGAGAATGATGGAAGGGTGAATTTATGATATATAGGAAGAACTTTGGTAAATGTCACAATGTACCCCCAGTACAATGATAACAAAAAAAATTAAATCCAACAGTATCTATATATAAAGGACCTTACTACATTATAGTTAGGAATACAAGGTTTGTTTGCCATAAGTGTAATTAACAGTATCGCTGGATGCTGCAGTTTTGTTGTTGTTAAAGTTGTTACTAAAGCAGTATACATCTGATAGATGTATTCTGAATTTTGTTTTTTCCCCTGGGCTAGTGACATATGGTATAATAGCCTCTTGGTTCTGGGAGCCATAGCTCCCAGTCAGCCTTGTGATCTTTCATCAATAAACAGTCAGTACGCTACCATGTACTATATTACTAACATGATGTTTCGTAGGTGTATTAAACACCTTTTTGGCTTAACAATTTTTGAATTTATGATGAGTTTATCAGGATGTAACCCCATTGTCAGTCAAAGAACATCTCATAAATTGGGTGCCGGTAGCTCATGCCTGTAATCATAGCTAATTGGGAGGTTGAGATTGGGAGAACTGCAATTTCAGGGTAGCCAGAGCACAAAGTCAGTAAGACCCTCATCTCAACAAGAAAAAGGCTGGTGTAGTATGTGTTTGTCATTCCAGCAATAGTAGGGAGCATAAAATAGGACTGAGGTCCAGGCCAGGATGGGCAAAATGTCAGGCAATACCCATCAAAATAACTAGGGCAAAAGGCTACAGTTGTGGCTCAAGCAGTAGAGCATCTGCCTAGCAAGTGAGAAGCCCTGAGTCCAAACCCCAGTACTGCCAAAAAAAAGTTATAAATAAAAAAGATAAGCCATCTCAAAAAATGCAGAAAAACTGAAAAAACTTAGCATCCCTCACTGATAAAAACTCATCACCAGGAAGAGAAAGGAATTACCCCAACCGGATAGATGCTGTCTAGGAAAAACAAAATGGTAAAAGACTGAATGCATTCCCTACAATTGGGACCAACACAAGTAAGTCCATTCATTACTTCTATTCAGATTGTAGTGGAGTTTTTAACCAGTGCCATAAAGTCAGAAAAAAGGGAACTAGAGTTGGAAAGGAAGAAGCTTATTTATCTACAAAAAATAGAAAGATTCTTGACTTTATGTGAACTTAGCAAAGTTATAGGATACAAGATCAATATACAATATACAAAAATAAGTCTACAAAGTACTATAGCATAAAGAAAAAAGTGTAGTCTGTAGAAATGACAGATTTTCACTCCCTTTATACCAAACACTTGAAAAAAAATTAAGTCTAAATAACTGAAGATCTCGTGTATGGATTAGTGGTTCACAACAAGATGTCAATTTAATGCCACACTGCTTTATAGATTCAACGCAATCTGAGCCAAAATCACAATGGACTAAGTTTTTGTGTATTTTGGTAGAAAATTACATTGGGATTGTAAAATGTATATGGAAATGCAAAGAGCTTAGAATAGTTGAAACAAATATGGAAAAAATAAGCTGAAGGGCTGACACTACCTGACTTCAAGGAACATATAGAGTTATGGTTATATACACAGTAGTTTATAAATATCAATAAATTAGAAGATACGCAGTACACAAATAAACTACAAGGGAATGTCCAGAAATAGGCTGAGACATATATGGCCAATTCATTTCTCATAAAAGCACCAAGACAATTTAGTGTGGTTAAAGTACTATTTTTAACAAATGGTGCAGGAACAACTGGATAGCACTATGAAAAAAAAATCTTTATTCACACCATACATCTACAAAAAAACTCAAAATGGATCATAAGTCTAAATATAACTTAAAATTCTTCAACCCCACCATCACCAAAATACCCCAAAAAACACAGGATTAAAATCTTAGTAACTTTGGATTTGGCAGTTGATTACAACACAAAAATCCATAAACTTAAAAGGAAAAAAAGGGAATAAACAGGCCTTCAGAAAAAAATCAAAGCCTTTAGCTCTTCAACCAGGCCCAGGTAGTTCATGCCTGCAATCCTACCTTCTCAGGAGGCAGAGATCAGGAGGATCACAGCTTGAAGCCAGCCCAAGGCAAACACTTCATGAGACTTCGAAAAACCCATCAGAAAACAGGGCTGGCGGGTGGCTCAAGTGGTAGTAAGCAAAGGCCCTGAGTTCAAACCCTAGTACCATCAAAAAAATAAAAATGTAAAGCAGGACTAAGGGTGTAGCTGAGTGACAGAGCACATGCTTAATATGTGTGAGGCCCTGGGTTCAATCCCCAGCACCAAGGATTTGAAAAAAGAAAAGGCATTTTTTTTCAGATTGGGAGTATTTGCAAAAATACCTCACAAAGGACTTATATCTAGAGTATCTATGAGGATCACAAGTTAGAAGCCAGCATGGGCTATGTGAGAAGCTGTCTCAAACAACAAAAAACTAATCATAGCGAGTGTTTGGTGAGGATGTAGAGCAAATGGGACTTGGATAGACTGTTGGGAGCAATGTAAAATGGCATAATCACTTTGGAAAACAGTTCAGCAGTGAAATGCAAAGATGAACCCACTATTTCAGTCCTAGGGAAATAAACAACTTGTATGAAATATTTCTAATTGCTTTATTTGCAATAGCCAAAACCCAGAAATAACCCAAATGTCCATCACTATTTAAGTGGATAAACAAATCATGGTATATCTAAATAATTCAATATTACTCAATAGAAAATTACTGATGCACATGTAGATCAATCTCCAAATAATTGAGTCAAAGAAGACATACAGAAACAGTACATATGAAAAGTACATTTTTCTGTAATTATAGGAAATAAAAACTACAGTGACAAAGCTTATCTGGAAAGAAGGAATGGCCAAAGGGGTTATAAAAGCACAAGAAAACCTTTGGGGGTGATAGTGTTCATTATCTTGACTGGAGCTGCTTCATGGCTGTATCTGTACCAAACTGTACATTTAATTTTTTTAAAGTCATTTGTCATTTTCACTCTTGTTCTGTGTATGTTTTATTTTCCAGAGGCTAAATAACATATGATGCCTTTACTTATTAACTAATAGAATGCATTCATGTATCTTTTAATTTTTTTTATTTACCAGTATGGTAATAAATATTTTATATAATCAGTGGTATGACAGAGCAGCATTGTACCAGGTCACAAGAGCCAATTGTGCACATCTTCTCCCAGCTCTGTTTAGAAGTGGCATGTTGATGCCCTGAACACAGCCATGGTAAAGTATTTACACCATGGAAATCAGCAAATGTTTACCACAAATTCAGGACATCTTCTCAGACAGCTGGTTGTTAAACAACTGCCAGCCTACCATTAATTAATATACAAAAACAAAAATATATTGGAGACCTTAATTTTTAACTCTACAAAGGATTTTGAGAAAACCAACAAGATAGTTTGAGAACCACTAGGCTCAGTGGTTCTTTATCTATGGAGCTGAAAAAGGTTACCAGAAAAAAAAAAAAAAGCAAAAAAGAAAAGCAGAAAACGTTGAGACTTTCAGATACTCAACCCTGTCAGAAAAATCTTGCAGTCATACTGAGTTCCTTTTACCAATGCTACCAGTGTCATTTTTTTTTTTCCCAGTACTGGGGTTTGAACTCAGGGACTACATCTTGAGCCACTCCACCTGTTTTTGTGTTAGGGGTTTTCAAAGATAGGGTCTCACAAACAATTTTCCTAGGCTGGCTTCAAACTGCAATCCTCTTAATCTCTGCCTCCAGAGTAGCTAGGATTATGGATGTGAGCCATGAGTGCCCAGCAGCTACCACTACCATTCTTCCATGGGACTCACTGTTGACCCAATCTTTCCTACAAGACCAGAAAGATCTGGAGTTGAACCTTTAGCTGCTTGTTGAATTTGAAGAGCCCAATGGCTGTTAGGAAAAAAGAGCTTGCTACTTCCCCTGGCAAACACCAAGGATCCATTTCTTGTTTTCCAGGGATCAAAGTATTATACAGGGATCCAAAAACCATAAGGTACTTCTTAGAAAATAATACCAGACCAAGTTATCCAGATAAAGGATTCCAACTCCAGAAAGTGGGATAAGATATTCATTATACAAACCTACTGTATTAAGTGATTCAACCACTAGGATACCAAAATCTGTACTTCTATTCTCTGCTGTGAAGCAAATTATGAAAGAAGCTTCAGAGCCAGCCCCTCCTGCTGCCTGACATTGGCCCACGTCCTTTCCAACTAATAGGGTATGGAAAATGTCTGTGTGGTAAGGCTCTTGTCATCTCAATAAAGAGCTCTCTGGGGAAAAAGTCTGAAATTAAAAAAAAAAAGGATCTATTAAAGAATTCAATAGGGGGTTGGAGGTGTAGATCAGTGGTATAGCACACATAGTTGACATGTACAAGGCCTTGGGTTCAATCCCCAGTACCACCCCTTCCTCAAAAAAAATAATTTGATAAGGAGCTAATTGAGTGTTATCTTCCTGTTTTGTGGCACACTGGAAACATAAACCTTAGGGCTTTTTCATCTCCACTGCATAGAGATCTGATCGCTTCTGTCTAAGAATGGGAATTTGCTGGCGTACTTCAGCCAACTTGTTCAGATCTGCAAAAACAGGAAAGTGCAAGGATTAATAATTTGCAACTCCTTACTAAGGGGATTTCTTCTCCCAACCCATAAAAACAACCAGAGTCTCAGCAAGTGACTTAGTAACATTGGCCTTATGTAAATGTAGATGGACCTGGCCCTGGTCCTATGGTCATTTCAAACAAACAACCCCAGATGAACCCCAGGACTTGGCCTCAGAACTAAACCTAGAATATCCTCAAGGATAAGTGAGGAGGGGCAAAAAGGAGCCCTTCCAAGAGAATGAAGCTGCAAAACTACAGAATCTGGCCTCAGAGGAGTAAGGACACCAGAGACCTGAAATGTAGTGAAATGGGGACTAACTCGGAATAGGAAAGAATCAAGGGAAAGAACTTAAAAACAAGAAGGAATATAAAAAAAACAGGAACCTAAAACCTATAAACTAAATAATATCTAGATATGGGATCAACAACCATCAATCTGGGCTTTGTTTTACAGCTTCAACTGTAGACATCATGTCTGACCTAATCTGCAACTTGGTGCAACAAAGAAATGAAATATTCCTTGTTACTTGCCCTAGTCAAAAAATAACCTATGTGACCTTGTACCACAACACCCAGATTTGGTATGAAATCCACCAAAAGAAGCCTGCAACATGTGACTTTTGAGAAGCCTGCATTCCCAATTCCTTAATTTTTTTCCCCTTTGAATTCTTTCTCCGAGGGTGACAAGAACCTAGATACTGAGTGGAGGGTTCTATCTGCTCTTTCTCTCAGACCTCCCCATCCTTCACCACTGGCAAGAGTAGCAGAGCAAATCTCACCTATGTCTGAATACAGGATCATTTCTTCAGTGCCAGCTTTGGCTAGAACCTCCCCCCTGAAAGAGATCAAAGAATTAATGAAGTCACTGACATCTGCTAATATTCAGTATGTGTTACATTTTCTTCACCATCTCACAGGCCAAAAGGCAAAGATTGTGAGATGTAAAATGCAAAGGTAGGTATATAAATTCCTGTTCTGCCATGTAAGTAACTAACCTTGTGACAAGTCATGTGGAATCTCCATTTCCTACTCCATAAAGTAGAAATAAGATATTTTACAAATTCCAAACTCCTAGGAAATAGTAGGTAGTTGTTCCATGATTATAAAAACCTGGGAATAAAGCTACCTGTAGCCAATAAGAAGCGCCATCCTATTTCCTTGTGGGTGCACTTCAGCAAGGCCCTAAGGGCCATTTCCACTGGCTTCTCATGCCTGCCCAAGCTGCTACTCCAGCTAGGGGTAACAGGCCACAGATCTGCTGGGATCTCTACCCTTGTGCCTTACACTAATGGGTTTCAGTTTCAGATGTGAGGGAAAGATTTCGACCTCAGTAGAGATCATAATGATCCAAGGCAGGTGGGAGCAACAATTCTTCAAAAATCTAGGCAAAAGCTAATCTGGAAAACTATTTGCAGTGCTGAGACTCTTGGCCCACAACAGGGGTTCAGAAACCTATCTAGTGAAAAGAATGTTCTCCAAAGTAATCTGCCATAACAACAATCTGACATAATAACTGGTTCCACATATCAGGTACTAGAAACATCTCTGGCACAGATGAGTTACAAATAGCACCATTAATGCCACTGAATTAAATTATTTTCTTTTCTTTTCTAATTCCTACCCATTTGAACTGGCATTCAAAGATCCCTCTCTGCAACACCAGGCACATATCCCAACATCAGCATAAGCCAGAGAGCCCCCAAAAATCCAGCAGAAGAAATAAAAAGTTATCAGAAGCATCTGGTTCAATCAGTAACAGTCCATCAGGAGAGCTAGCTGTGGAGGTAGAGGTGCTGAGGCAGCCAGGAAGCTTACCAGTAATAACTAGACAGAGGGACTTGATACAAGTTCATGAAAACTTTCAAGCTAGCTTAACCCTTCCAATGCCCCAAAATCCTGTGTAGGAGGCTCACTGAGAACCTCTCCTTTTTTGGAGGTGGGGGAGGGGGCTGGGGTTTGAACTTAGGGCTTTGTGCTTACAAAGCAGGGAGGTACTCTATCACTTGAGTCACACCTCCAGTCCATTTTGCACTGGTTATTTCGGAGATGGAGTCTCGTGAACTTTTTGCCCTGGCTGGCCTTGAACTTCAATACTCCTGATGTCAATCTCCCAAGTAGCTAGGATTATATGTGTGACCACTGGTGCCCAGCTACTGGTCATATATTACAAGACCTCTGCACCATACACATTGAGCTCTGGGTGCTACAAGGTCAGAACAGAAGAGTGAACCTTTTGGGACCCCAAAGTGACATTTAATCCTTCTCAGTCTTGTTACTGGTGTGTTTATCTTGAAATTGTAGAAATACCTATCTGTGTGTGTGTGTCTATGTACAGAAGTAGTGTGAAATAAACACAAGTTCTGTAGTCCAAATTCCTAACTCCAAACATCAGTTCCAGCCACCTTAAGAACTATAATTCTACCCTCTATAAACCAACCCAAAAAATGTAAGGGCCTGAGTGGAGGTTGAGATCATGTGTGTGAAAGTGTGCTGTCAACCATATACACGCAGACCATAAGGTGTGTATATTAAAGGATGACTGTGTGTGTCTGGATGGAGTAATAAAATGCTTTACCTTTTCATCCTAGGGGACAAGGTCATAGTTTCCCTTACTGAACCAATCCTCCCTCCTCCTCTAATCATTATGCTGAGAGCAAAGTCCTTGCCCTGTAACACATTCCTGCCCTAGGACCAGTTGCTCAGCCTCAATTTTAACCAAAAGTCATGAATTGAGGAGCCTCTTTTACTAACCCCCTGCACCTGCCACTATTGCCTTGTTTATCTGGACATGACTGACAATGAAGGTCACCTAGACATGCAAAAGAGGTCTAAGGCTAGGCATTCAATCAGGCGAGTGGTGTAATTTCTCAGACGGTTTTCTCATGCCTGTCAGGATGTGTGGTGAAATGGCAGTGGGAGGTAGAGGTGGTTGGTGAGGAGCCAGACAACCTACCTGACCATGTGTCATCTTTCAAAGTCCCACTGAGCTCATCCTCATTGAGCCATACTCACCAAGGGTTCACAATGGTGCTGTGTCCCCAGGCCACATAGGAGGCTTTATCGTCCCGTGCAGGAGAGGCTGTGGCCACATATACCTGATTGTCAACAGCCCTATAGTCAATGGACAGAAAAGAGATAACTCATACATTATAGATCTGTAACATTTTGAAAATACTATTAAAAAAAAAA